ACGGTTGTACTTCTGCTTTGATTAATGAATTTTTTGATCAGTCAAAACAAAAAAAAGAGAAAAAAAAAAAAAAAAAGTTCATGCAACTTCACCTTGTTGATGCTGTTGGAGGTTACCCTTTTGAGCATGCTTCTTATCATCAAGAGTAGAATGACTTGCATAGTTGCATCATTTGGAAGCTATTTAGTTGGATTTGCTTTCAAGTTGCGGCAAGGCCAATCTTGAAGTGATGGAAGATCACGAAGTATCACTTATTTAAAAGCGTTTAATTGTTCAATAGAAAAGAAAGGGCAGCTGTTGTTGGAACTTGGAAGTGGCGTTTGATGGTTAATTTTCGATGGTTTCTAGTGTTAAGATAGAGAATCGTGCGATGTTCACTCCTAAAAAGGCTCCTTTGGCAACCTTTCAAAATAACTGGTTTATCTTTGGTACCTTTACACTGTTTGTGGTGCTGATTTAACTGGAAAACTCACAGTGCATATGGATATTATCGTGTGATGGCTGATTTTGATTTAGAAGTTGATGAAGAATCTCCATAGGTGGCATAAAGATGATAATTGTAAAAATGGTAGCTTATATGGGGAATATCTAGTCCCTTTACTTCTGTTCTCCAGAAAGGTAACTATCTTTGCTGCTGAGTGAGTGCAGTGGGTAAGCACTGAGAATATGGGATTCATTTTGTGTGTGCGTGCTGCAAGCGTATGTATGTTTCCTTTCCATTGTAAATTATGGGCATGATCAATAGATATTTGTCTTACTATGGTTTTTTTCTATACATACTAAATTAAACTTTATCTTTAATATATGCAGATCGCAGCACTCGCAAGGGGTCAAAACTGTTTGATAGTGATGACGACTCTTTAAGTACTTCGTCAAGTACTTTGTCAGATAGAACATTAGTCCATGAGAATGATGATATACATGATGAAGAGTTTCAGTTAGAGGATTATGTGGATGCGCTATATGAAAAGAGGTACTCCTGTGAAGCCAATGTGCAACATTAGCTGGAATATTTGTCTATGTTTTTATTGAAGAATACTTCAAGAAACTCTACAGATGCTGTTGTCTTCTTTCAGTGTTTTTTCTTATGATGCCTTGTTGATTAGTAGTGATATAAGTTTGTTGCATTTTGATCTGAAACAGGTCAGGAAAAAATATTTTGATGGTTTGGGTGAATATGAAAGTATGGATTGTATGATGTGCATTTTCAAGACCCTCAATGCATGAATCCTGTGATGCATATATGTGGTTTCATGGCTTCAGACATTAATAAAATGTATAACATCTATTATATTACATTTCTAGAAATTATATTATAAAAAGTCCAGTTCTTTGTCTAACGTCAATATTAAAAATAATTATAATCCATTTCTACTTTCATTTCTTTCTCTTTATTTCAGGTGACCTTGTTAAAGTTGGTGAACCCTCATAGCTAATATATCATCTGAAATATACTTTTCATTATAATACACATATTTTAGTTGCATAAATAACCCATAGTTGAAATGAATATCCAAATCGAGAACTCAATTTACCAACTGTAAATGTTTTCTTTATAGTGGTAACAATTGACCAGACAATTAACAATATGAAATAGCAAGTATTGCCTGATGCAATCCATGACCTATATGGTCAGATGCCCAAGAGATGACTGTGAACATCAAGATGTGTGTTAATCATCCATCCTCTAAATATCTAATGAATAGAAATATGCACATAGTTACAGGTGGCTTTACAATGTTATTTGTTATTGCTATTGGTGGAAGAGGCTGCATATTTGGATTTAAATCTTCTAGGGTAGCTATAGGTTATGAATATGTACTAAGTATGTGTATCTTAAATTTTATTTAGTATATTTGTGGCAGTTTTAGTAGAAATCAGCTTATGCTATTTAAGTTTATGATATAGGCCATCGACTCGAGAGAAGGGTCTGAAAGGACTTGTTGATGCTTTCTCAAGCGATTTTGAGGTTGTTTTTGCAGAAAATAAGTGAGTATGTTTGCTTTTAGCCCAAGTTTGAAGTTTGAACTCATTGAAAGTTATGTATGTCTTGGCTGTTAATTAGTGTTCTGGTTCTAATTCAATCAATATTTCCAGACATGTTACTTTAGTGCATCTGTTCATCAACTCAATTAAGCGAGGATCTTCTTCTGAGGCTGCCTTGGCTTCTCATGCCCTAGGTTCTCTCCCTCTCTCTCTC